GGCCGCGTCCCACATACAGCAACTAGAAGGATGTGCAGCTATGACACACAACTATCTACTGGGGCTTTGGGGGGAAAAAATAAATAAATAAATAAAATCTTTAAAATAACAACTATCTGTTCCTATTCCTGTGGTCAATATGCGGCTCATCCCTGAGGGGGGACACAGGGCTCCAACAGGAGGCCCCTAATCTTACTGAGAAGTGTACCTTGATTTTTTTCTTCATCTTTGTCGTTGGGGGATTTAACCCAGGAAACCTAGAATCTCAATAACCCTGACAAATTATTTATCTTCATGCAATCTATTTAAACTTGAAGCCACAGCTCAAATTAATTTCTGAGTTTCTTTTCATGAATTCACATTTAGAGAGACTGATTAGTAGCTTGTGTTGCAATTGAAGGCCTTTGAATGAAACACTCAAAATTCCCGAGTTATCCCAAGTCTCAAAGTCCAAATACATATTTCAGCTCCTCTGTCCCTTAAAATCTTTTTACAGAATCTCTGGGAAGAAGTGGAGACTATCTTACCATCCTGAAGTATAACACATTCTAAATTTTGCCTAAATTTTTATGAAAACCCACTATTTAATGGCAGATAATTTTCATAAAGACTCAATAATATATAGTAATATATACAGTGAAACGAACTTTCAGAAGTAAAAATCAGCACACTGACACTATATACGATCTAAATCCACATACACCAATAGGCCAAAGTGTACCACTTCAGACCTCTCCATGAAAGAAAGCCCATTGGAATTTCAATATTTCTGAAACGGTTTTGTCTGTTTTTGGAACTTAGGCTGCACCAGGATGGTCTCAGCGATCTCAGGTTAATGTGCAGTCACTAGAGTCCTTTAACTCAGACATCAGCGCTGCATTGCTCCTGGGACCTCTGAATCCATCACAGGGAATTCGTAGCATGGCGAAACCTTGGGCCGACTGGAACACCTATCTGTTCCTCTTCTCTGTTGTCCCAGGTCCCCGACCACAAAAGAATGTTGTCTCAGTGGGCATGCTCAGTGTTTAATCTCGAATTATATGCAGACTGGGGCAAAATGTAATTTTCTCTCTGTGCTATACTGTCCCCCCAATTAAATGTCTACATTCTATGAGCAGTAGTAAAAATAATGGTCAATTTTACCAAAACTTCTGTAATGTAATAATTTCTTTCTGTTTCTGAATCTGTAAACCACTTAAAAATCAGTGAAAACAAGTTTTTTTCTCAATTTATTTTTGTATAGAACTAATGCTTTCATTGGTGGTCTAGTTGTTAAGAGCCGGTGCTCTCACTGCTGCGGCCCTGGTTTGTCTCTTGGTCAGGGAGCTACACTACCCGCCTGTGGTTGTCATACTGTGGTGACTGCATGTGGCTGGGATGCTGAAAGCTCTGCCACCGGTATTTCAAATACCAGCAGGGTCCCCCTTGGTGAGCAGGTTTCAACGGAGCTTCCAGACTAAAACAGACTAGGAAGAAGGACCTGGCTGCCTGCTTCCGAAAAAACTGACCATGAAACCCCTATGAATAGCAGCGGAGCATTGTCCGATAGAGCGCTGGGAGGTGAGAGGATGATGCAGGAAGACCAGGCAGGGTTCCACTCTGCAGCCCTCAGGGTCGCTATGAGTCAGGAATCCACTCAGTGACACTAACAACAAAAGGCTTTCATACCACACTAATTATTCAGTGAGTTGATACGAGCCCCCTACCTTTCTATTCTAAGAGGGTTATCAGTTGAGTGTGTGAGATCCTGAGACATCTCAACAAGACTTATGACATGAAACAGCTTTACTGATTTCTAAGTGGCAAATGATCATGAAGTGTGAAAAAATATCTATTAGTTGGGGTCAGATTTTGTCCTTATGCAGGACTCCTCGTTTCGTATGGCCACAACTGGAATAGAGATGGTGTGTAGGACTTGATTTAGGGTAACAGCAGAATCCTCTCTCCATCTAAGATGGACACTGGTGATGTTTAGCTACCCATAGGCATATTTCTGAGGATTAAAGTCTTTCTTCTGATGATACTGATGATCTTCAAATTCTGACTTCTTGTCATTCAACATCTGTCTGTGCAGGTTCCTTAGTTTGTTGCCCAATATGCTTTCAGTTTTCTTGCCATACCACAAGCTGAAATAAACAATAAACTTTAGTCTTTAAAGGCAAAGACAACGTCTGTGTAATTCTCACTTAATTTTCATCCAGCATTATATTTCTACTTAATAAATGTTTTTTGATTTCATGTCAGTTTTTTTTCTTGTTTTATGAATGGCAATGTAAGGTATAGGTTAAAAACACAACCACTAGCATTAAAAAGATCTGGGTTTAAATCTGAATTCTGGTTCCATCTTCTACTAACTCTGTGACCTTGGCCAAAATACTTAATCTCCTAATCTTTAAAAGGGGTGTAATAGTAGTACATGTCTCATAAAATTATTTTAATAATTAATTGAGTTGAAGTATGGAAAGTATTAGCACAGTGGTTGGTTTATAAATAGAGAGAATGCTCAGTGAGTGAGGAAAAAAATTAGTGCACGTGCCAGTGGGAATGAAGGAAGACAGTGATTCCAAAGTGATGTACAGTGCCATCTAGCAATCATTTGAAAGTGACCATTTCAGCATCTTTTATAGAGAAGAGCTAAGACAGACATTATGTTTTCAAAAGTGCTGTGTTGTCATCAAAACACTGGTCGTGGGTATTGCCATTCTAATCAGTGGTTTCTTCTATGCCACATTTCTTACATTTGGGACATAAAGATTGGCTTACTTTTCAGTCTTCACAAGCATATCCCCTAGACCAGGGCTAAATCCTCTATTTATCTGGAACATTTAGTGGAGTGTCTACCACAGAGTAAATGCTCAAGGCAAGTTTGTTAAATTGGAAAATCTTCAAATCACAATCTAGTAGCACAAAATACAAACATATCACATACTTTAAAAATGCACATAGATGCCTATTAGGTATAAATGTATGTGTGTGTAAATTAGTGCAAAACAAAGACAACTCAAGGTAAGACAACCACACCATTGAACCAACAGTTACATCTCACGAGTGTTAGTCTGAAGTCTTCTCTCAGATGTAGGTGTAATTCAGAAGATTAGCTCTTTCTACACAGGTCTAATGTTCACGAAAGATCCTTTTTTGGCTTATTTCTAGCTAGAAACAAGACATTGGACACCTCCCCACTGTAGCTCGTTAATAGAATCATTAGAAGAGTCAGTCTACATTGCTAGGCTCGTGGAGGTTGTCACATTTTTGTCTATGTTACAGAGAAAGGACAAACAGATACCATGAATTTTGAAAGAACCATTTTCAAATTTCACTCTGCGAGTTTTCTTTCCTCTCCCTTATCCACAACACGGTGGAATATATTACACTTCCCATGATTCTCTATACAGAAATCTGAGATGTTTCTTGAATGAAATTAGACAGGTCACACATCTTGTTTTCCATTATCTTCTGAGTCTGAGTGGAACAAGTTTGAAATTGAGGCATGTAAGATACAAAAGTCTTCTGACTGGAAGTTTCTAAGTTGAAGTTATTTTCTACAAGGTGTGAGCAGCCGTCCTGGAGGACTCTGATGTCAGAGAATAAACAGGGGGCTGGGAATGGGCACAACACTGTTGACTCATCAGTCAAAAACACGACACTCTCTCTTTTTTTGATGGAGGTGACCCCTAAATAATAGACAGATCTTTCATCATTATTTTCTTCAGGGAAATTTCCCTCAAGTTTCAAAAGTTCATCCAATCCTTCTGAGAATGTAAGATGTGGTGAAATTATATTGGGATGCTGATCTGATAACATAAAAAATGCCTGCGTTTCTATCTCCCATGACCTGTTAGAGAAAGAACCCTTTGATAGAGTATTCTTGCTATAGACGCATTTGCTGACTGAGCTATTTATAAGCCCTTGCTCTTCATCACTTTCACTTGGTTTAGAGTTGCTGACCAGAGTGGCATATTTAACAGAGGGTTGTCTCCTGCGTTCATCCTCACAGATTATCTCCGTGCTTTCAGCCTCAGAGAAGTTGGCACTACTGCGTTGGTCACTGAAACAAACAGAACCCTTTTCAAGATCTGGAGTTGTCAAAAGTAGAGAGACCATAGTTGGTGGAGCCATCTTGTGTTTATTTTTCCATGATGTATCAATACTGATATCTTCTGAAATGGTTTCAGGCTCCAAAAGAAGAGGACCAAAAGTCACTGATTCTGTGTGCTTGATAAAAAGATGCTCAAACGTTTCTGGCTAAAAGAAAAGACACATTTTAATGCTCAATTGTATTATTATTTTCTTGCTTCACTATGACATGCTTGCAGAAATGGAAGTGTGAAAGGTTACTACTAAAGGACATAAGTCAACCGCAAATTAACTACTTTTAGACTGACAGATACATCATATGGAAGAGGCAGTCTAAGAGAGTGTTTAAAAGTGGGACAAGACTGATTTAGGTTTGAGTGGTTCTATTTCTACGACCATGGACAAGTACACTAACCTCTCTGTCCTTCAGTTTCTTCACCTGCGAAAATATGTTCAGTACTTACTTCACGGCATTGTGGTGAGGAATAAACAGTCTGAAAGTGCTTAGCTCTAAATAAAGATTGGTTATTATATTTGGAAAGTGCTATCTTCCGAAAATTCCTAATATTTTATAGCAAATTAGATTTTCACAAACCAAAAATTTAAACCCTAAATTTAAAAAGTCAATTGAAATAAAATCAAATGAGCAAAACAACTTGTCCAAAGAGAGATAATATGACTACTCCATGACATAAGATATGATATGAAGGTAAAATATTTGTGACTGACTGTTAAGAATTTATCTGCCTCACATTATATTGAGAATCTGTTTGAGACTATCTGAAAATAAGAACTAACAACACCTATTTGTTGAAAACCATGAAAGTGAAAGAGATGATCACAGACTTGTAAATTCCTGTTCCTTACAAATAACTTCATATAAAAATACATATTATGGGACATGTGGAATGAAGACAAAGACACAAAACAAATGCACATCATATTTTTTATAAGAATGGTGGTTACATCACAACAAAAAAATCCTGCCAAGCAGCTACACAGCAAGAATCCGTGTGCAAAAGGCTCGACTCTTACAATGTAAACACACTGAAAAAATAAATGCAAAATAAAGAATACCATGGATACATCACATTGAAAACTTAACGCAACTAAATGAAGTGCTGCAGAAAATGTGTTCAATTTGTATGTCATACATATAATTGAACTTCTGAGCTTTATAAATTTTAAACTAATAGATTGAATTCAGATTTATGGTCTGAAATAATGATATACCCAACTGTTCTTCATAATGGCAAATATATTCCATATAAAAACACAATCCATTTAACATAGTTTTGGATTCTTAAGTGAAATATACTGGTGATTATAACCATAAAAGAATAAATATACCAAACACTAAATATAATAAAAATGAAATAGACTTATATAGACATTAAAATACTGCTAGTGACAAATACTGTGTTCATACAACCATTTATGCTATTCTATGAACATCATATATGAGGAGAAAACTGTTTCTGTGCCTATTTTCTTTCTGAAAGACATCAATAATTAAGTTTATGACGTGCTTGCTCATTTTGTTTTTTCTTAGGGTTACTACTGTATATGTAATGAATTTCTTAAAATTTAAATGAACCTATAAATGAAGATCACCAAATAAAGGAATTACATGCTACCAATATGAAAACAAAAAATTCACACACATAGCCCATAGCATGCAGTTAAGCTCACATATGTTCTTCTAATGATGTGTTTGACATAGTTCACACTCTCTAAAACTTCATAATTGGTAACTAATTATTGATACCAAATATTTTACCTGTCTTTGAATGCATTCAGATAGAGGATTTAACTAATAATTAATAGGAAATCATATTCCCATATATGACTGAAATATAGTTGAGCAGTGGGTCACAAACCTTTATTAAAACTATGTTCATTAAAAAATCATTTCATTCACTATATGCATCTAATTTTTTGAGATTTTAGAACAGACTGAGCACATATTAAATATGTATTCATATGGTAGGAATTGAAGAATATTCTGCATAATTTCACACTTAGATTTTTTTCCATGCCAATGACATCTGTTAATAGTCAACAAAGAGAGAAAAGGACACATTCTTCCTAATTTTTAGTGTTTTTTTTACATTCAAATAAAACTATGAATGAAATCTAAATATAAGTGATCCACATATAGCCTAAATTTGCATATTACTTGGGTTCATCAAGCAGAGGCTTTGGTTTAGTTGGAACGTGAGCTACAAGCACACTTCGTATTCTAAATTCATAGAAATAGCAGGTGGTATTTTTTCAGGAAAAAAGTCCTGTCCCCACCATGAACTACTTGTAAAAGCTCCAGAGAGTCTCCCTTGTTGCATCACTGCCCACTTCCCTGCCTGCCAGAAGCTTCAGGTGGTTCAGCGTAAACAAATTTAGGCAAGAATCTTACAAGGAGGCTGAACTGGTGCTGATGCTTTTCTGATCTGGGCAGTCTGACCTGGATATGTCAGGTCATCCTGATATGAACCGTAGCTTCCACTGGCCTGTGACCAGCATAAATCATAACTTCTGGCTTTCTTTCAACTGAAATGGAAGTTAGCACTTAAGCCATTTTCAAGGCTATCAAAAACTGAAATTTCCAGATTGATCAAAGTTAGATATACATACAAGCTACAAGACATTCAAAAGAATGCCCAAATGGGCCAGTTTGTAGGCTGAAGTGTCTAAGAGAGAAAGGAAAATGGAAAAATTTGGACACAAAAATATAAAGTAAATACTTTTAATTCACTCTGTAACTAGAGTCATTGTATTTGCAAAGCTTTGTGGGAAAGAGGCAGTTTTCAACTAGTTTGGGCATTGTTTACTACATATTTGATGATATCTAACAGAAATGTGGTAACAGCAACAGTCATAATTTTTTAATGTTTTATGACCAGACAAATGATAAATCAAAAGCCAGAGATTATGAATATTACTTTTTAAACTTTAGGTGGCCTGAAAAGTAATCATACATCCAAAGTGAATTAGATTCAGACCTATATCTTGACCCCAAATTTACCCATCTATTTTAAGTTCCAAATCAATGTAATCCACCATATTTTAGTTCTCAATAGTTCAAACAAAATTTGTTTAGATTTTCTCCCCTTCTTCAAAATGTAAAAATCTTCTAATACTCTATAGAATGTTGGGAAGTTGGTACATTGGATTCATCTGTAGTAATCATGATTAGACTTCAAAGAATGTCCGTTCTCTGTTTAGATAAAATAAAACAAATAAGAAAGCAAATAAAGGAAAATAAAAAAATCACTCAGCAAAAGATAAAAGATTTCAAACACATTTTCTGTTGGGCATGGGCTCTGGACTATAATTTCTTGTGTTATATTAAGGTAACACATCTTTTTATTAGGAAAGCATAAAATTTGGAACTAAGGTGGCTTCTTCCACTTTCTTAATGCATGCCTTAATATCACACTTTAAGGAAGAACAAAGAGCTGGAAAAATAAAATGGGGGTGGAGGAACAACATCAATATTTCAGAGTTTGGAACAAGAAAGAGTAAAAGAATAGAGCAGTGAAAACAAAAATCAAGAGACAGAAGAGCTGAAAAAGTGAAGAAGAATAGAATTACAGAATCATTATCATGATTTTTTTAATCTAGAAAAAAGATGTAAGAAACCATCCGGTCCATGTTTCTCCCTTTTTTTAGACAAATCAATTGAGGCTTAAAGTTACACAGCTAATTAGAGCAGAGTGAGGACCCAGACTTAGTTCCTTCTTTTCCAACAATCTTTCTATAACACAGTGGAAGATGAAAAGGCATCGCAGACATGAACAGGCAGGAGAACATGTTCTTTGTTTTGCGTTTTCTACTTGCCGCCATGGATTTGAGCTGGACAATTTATACTCTCTTCTGGGTCCTTATAACCCAGAGGTATACGTGCAAATATTAAGAAGAACATGAAAATAAACAAAATCTAAGCCATATTTTAGGCGAGTGAAACATACACTTCTAAGCCCAGTAACGTGCACTTCTAAATAGAACTTCTAACTTGAAAGTGCCCCAGCTCCTCCACACTTCTGCAAGGCCTTTCTAGCAATTTCAGGGATGCTCTGCCTCAGAGCGGTGGGGATGGCGTTCTGGGAGTCCACGGGTGGCTGAGCTGCTTCTGTGGAGGACTGGAGCAGGCTGAGGAATCTAGGATAGTCTCTGAATCATCAGGAAAAATCCATTTGAAAATTTTAGCTTTAACACTCCTAACGCAGATTGCTGAGTAGAGTACACTCTTGTGAAGATTGACATTAATGTAGACAACAAAGGAGCAGGATTAAACCAAAAAATAAATAAGATGATTCGGATTTAGTGGAAAAACATAATAGATCAGGCAAAAATGCTAAAGAAAAAGGTTTAAAAAAACCAAACTGGTTACAGTCTTTTAACCACTGTGAAATTTGAATTAGAAGAAAGGCAAGGCTATCGAGCCACTATGGCACATTTTCCTAGAAGAATTCTACCTTTGTTTAAGATTCTGATTTTTATTTTTATTTTATTTCTAAATTTTTTTTAAGGTTCTGATTTTTAAAGTATCAAGAGAAATGGTGTAGAGGAGTGTTCTGGTTCAGGATGGCAGATTGAGCATATGTTTCTCCCTCAACTCTGTAGAGTCTCTGTTAGAATGCAAGTACATGAATAAATCAAATATACACCCACTACAAAGAAGATCCTCTGGGAAAGCTAAGAGGGAATGAGATTTTGAATTCATTTCTAAAAGATAGAAAACAACTGGAAGAGTGTAGACGAAAGAAGATGAGCAAAGGAAGCTACAGACTAAAACATCTCCAGAGTGGGCTGCAGCTGAAGAGAAAGCCACTTTGCCCGGTTGAATACAGTGGAGATGGTGGCTGAAGAAGTGGCAGGTAAAAACGCAGGAAGGAATGAGATCTGAGGCTGAAAACCGAAAGCTCTGCATATGGAATGGGGTTCTTCTACTCCTGCTGCGCAGGGAAGAGCCTTCATATAAGAACCACCCTCCACACCCAAACTGAGGTTCTGTTTTCAAAAGCAACTGAGGATATCTGGGGAGGAACCGAGCAGCTGTGGGGGATTAGAGTCTATGGGCCCTGTCTACCCATTCAGGAAAACGATCCCTGCCTACATTCACTGGGCTCCCAGTCTGTCTGTCTACTGTTTCAATCTTAAACAGGAAA